CATCGGGAGCCCCACGCCGCTCAACACGCTGCTGCCGGGAGACCTTCTCAGCGGGGAGTCCATCTAGGGAAGGAGAGAAACGAAACGGAAGTAACAATCATCAGCACTAAAGGAGAAAAAGAAAAATGGTAACCCTTTCCAGTCCCCGGGCTTGATGGAGAACCCAGCTTTAACAGATCGGACTGGCAGCCCTTTTTTATTAGTACCTCTGTCCGATGTCGAATATGAAACTGCAGAAGTCCTTGTGAACTGTTCGTGAAACAGTATGGGCTACTTTTGGTCAGTGTCACATGCTAATGACAGGTTATACTTTTTTTTTTTCATGGCTTTTTGTTTTATGTTGTCTTTTTATGTTTGTATGGTGATTTTTCAAAACAAAGTATAAAAAGCTGCTTAGAATAGGTCTATCATGAAGGGCACTTTTCAGAATTTGGGCTGGAAAGGGTTATTTTATCAACTTGGGGGGGGAAGGGGGAAATGAAAGCCTATTTAAAATGAGCCTGTGACTATTATGCACATTACCAGAGGCGGACCCAGTAATCAGAAAGGGTGAAGTGTGGTATTTGCCATTGGTACAGAAGAGTAACGGATCGGAATGGTGACTATTGACTGTACAGGTTGAGTGGGGGGGAGGGAGGGCAGGGCTGGGGTATCTCGGTGTCCACTACTCCCATGGATCTGCCTATGCACATTACCCTTCTTTCATTACTTTTTCATGTCATTTTTTTATCCCAAAAATAGAAAAAGTAAAAAAAAAAAAAAAAAAAAAAACCAACAAAAAAACCACATATCAACATGCAAATACTTGAATCCAGCAGGCCAATAACAAAATGTGAACACTTGCTAAGTCTAATTATTACACTTCCAGGTCGGCATCAGTACACAAAAAACAGGCTCTAAGAATTTTTTTTTAAAGTTCAGACTATATGTTTTTGTTGGAACAGATGTATGTATGTGAGTGTGCTTGTGTGTGTGTGTGTGTGTGTGTGCGCACGCCCATGTGTGGTTTAACTAAAGTGTGGATTTTTTCCTTTTATTCAGTATATGCTTTTTATTTGCTCATTGGTCAAATGTTTAATTGTTATTAGCTTCTAACTTTGCACTGAGTGTCCGCAGCCCTTCTTGTAGCTCATCTGATAATGTTCAAAAGAAAAAAAAAAAAAAAAAAAAAAAAAAAAAAAAAAAGAAAAAAAAAAAGAAAGAAACTGATAGAAGGGGCCGGCGACAATTCACGTGTAAATGTTTACTCAAGGACTCTTATCGCATTTTAAAAATTACAGTGTGTATCTCTGGAGAATAATATGTATATCTACCTTTAGCGGCTTTTTATTGTGGACTAATGCAAGAAAATTATTACCGGAGTATTGCACCATTTTTCCATTCGGAATATAAAGTTTAAAAAAAAAAAATACTCTTGTTGAACTGTGGCCATAGATAATTGTAAAGAGCGGATAGTTCCCTTGCAAGCAGGAACAGAAACAAGCACTTGGACATAGGTTTTGACTGCTTTTGGAGGAGCCAGGAGTTTTGGCTCCCACCTGTTTACAGACCTTTTTTTCTCCTTCAAACTTTAAAATAAAAAAGGAATTAAAAAAAAGAAAAAAAAAAGAAAAAAAAAAAAGACTTCCATCGTAAAGAAAACTATTTTCGGAATGAAGATATGCTACTTCAGAGCTCTGGGATTGAACAGTGTTGTTGTATTATTCTTTTCTTTGGCCATTGCTGTGTACTATTTTTGTTGTTGTTTTCCTCCTCTTCGTCAAAGTGGCGAAAACTTTGTGATCACTATCTTGCACATGGTGGAAGATGTCTCAGGAAAGCCGGGTTTCCCGAGGAGCAACTCCACACCATTTCATGTATTTTTAAAACCCAACTCCTAGCACTGAAGATATTATTAAAAAACAAAATAAAAAAAAGACAGTAAGAAAGAAGAAAATACCTAATCTAATGTGTAGCAGTTACATATTTACCAAATAATGGACTCAAAAGAAATAGATGTTTGAAGAGTGCTTTATATATTAAAAAATCGCTTTATGTTTAAAAAAAGATCAATGTTTTTGATTGTTTTGAAAGGAAGAAAGACAATGGAATAACATACGCTTCAAGTATGTTTTAAAAATTATATGAACATTGTGCTCCCTGCCTGCTTGGATCAGGAAACTTGTGCATTACTTTTCTTTTCTTTTCTTTTCTTCTCTTTTCTTTTCTTTTCTTTTCTTTTTTTTTTTTGAAGATTAGCTTTTTAATGGTTTTATCAGATTTAAAGGGTCCTGCAAGATTGCAAATTAACAAAAGCTGGTTTTATAGAGGATCATGAACTATGCACAAACTGGGTTCAAGACTTGTTTTTTTCTCAAGTTTTAGTAGTGTATTTAGCTGAATAACCTTTCCTCAGAGTAATTGCATCTCATTGCCATTACACGCCTCCTGCATATATATTTTATATATACACACACGCTCTTATATAAAATATGTATGTGTGTACGTGCGTGTTTACATACAGTTTTCCATTTTGAAGTTTAGCATTGAGTTGTAGAAAAACTCGTGATATTTTAAAATTGGGAATGAAAATTTCTGTTGAAGGGTTGGGGGGTGGGTTTTCGTTTTGGGGCTTTTTTTTTTTTGCCTTTCCTTTTGGATTAAAGATGTCTGTAACTCTGAGATTTAAAAAAAAAAAACAAAACAGTTGTGGCTTTTAATGTTTATTTTCCTTATAAAATGTGATTGTTAAAGAACATGCACCGAAAGTTGCTTTCAAGAGTACGAAGATTCTTTGAAACTTAATAAATTGCAGTTTTTTCTTGGCTGTTCAAATAACGCGTATTTTTCTTTCACGCAGGGGATACTAGAAAAAATATATTGTTAAATATGTGAAGGTATTTCACGGAAGAAGTTGAACTCTTTCAATATTAGTGAGATGTGGTACAGCCGGGCAGATGGCTGCTGCGAGTGTAGTCGCAGACTTCGAGCATCTCCTTGGTGGCCGTGGCTTGCTCCCGAGCTCGTGCCGCAGACCGCGTCCGAGAGAGCGCTGCGCGAAAAGCAGTCGGTTCTGCTGTTGTTGGTAGAATTCCGTTTTTCTCGTTTACTCCTGTCTTTAGTAATGCCGTGGGTGAGTCGCTGGCCCCGGGACTGTCGCGAGGCTGCCGGCTCCTCTCGAGCTCCGTCGCTGGCAGCCTCC